ATAAACAGGGAGGGGGAAAAAAAGCAGGAATAAAATTCTTAAAAATTCAAAGAATTTCTACTGAAATAGTGCCATAAACTGTGGGAAAGATTTCTCAAAGAAAGTAACTTTCTCTATGGAAACAAATACATGATTTCTCAAGTGGATGCCCCCGCCAAGCCCTAGCACTGAAGTCCTGTAAAAAAGCTCCAAGAGGGATTTAGCCTTGCTTTTAGGCCAGGACAAAYCCCACCAGCTTGTAGCCGAGATACCACTTTTGTTAATACAGAAGCTGCTTTTTATTCCTTCTGCCAAAGCAACCTGGCCTGCCTGGTCCCGCAGTGAGGTCATAACTCAGGGCTGATCACATCACAGCACGTTGCCATGGCAATGCTTGAACTGTCACAAAGGATGTGCGCTGTGATTTCACAGCAGATGGGCTGTGAGGGAGGAAGCCCTCATTTAAATTTTAAAAATTGCTTTAGTAATTAGCAAGAGCAATAGGAAAAAAAAAACATCGAAAAGAGTAGAAAAATCCCCAAACTGTCACTCTCAGCAAAGGTTATAGGATTCATGTGGGCTCTGCAGGCCATCCACAAGAAAGGCCAAGCTGCTGCACCAAGTTCACTGATAGATCCATAAAAGTCTGGAGCCTGCTTGGCTGCAGGAGGCTCAGGGCAGCAGTGGGTGAGCAGAGCCCCCCTGGCACATCGGTGCATTTCAAAGCCAGCCGACCCTCACAGGGACCTGACAGGAATGGCAGAGGGCAGGCAGAGGCTGCCAAAGGCGTTACTAAAACCCTAACTGCCTCACTCAAGGGGAGGTACAATGGCCTGACTTCAGAAGTTTTGAGCAAGGAGCTGGCTCAGTTGTTTCTATAGTCCTTCTTAATAAAGCATGAAGAGCACAGAGTCACACAGATGTGCTTGCATCCTGTCAGAGACAACATCTCCTGTCAGAGACAACTCCCTCTAAGGCATGAGTGAAACACCTTGGCTCCCTAACTGTGACATGCCAGCAGCACTGACCCACAGCAGCCCACACTGGCCTTGTCCTGCATCCTCAGCATCTCTCCAGCACAATGACAACCCATTCCCAACTATTGCCCTGGCACCTGGGAGCCGAGACCAACAGTAAACAATGGAGGCAGAGCAGATKGTGTCAAGCCTTCCAGATAGCCATAGTGCAGCCCTGCTCCCTCCTCGGGTTTCTCCATCCCTGGCAGAGGTGACCTTGACGAAGGAAAGCCTCGGGTCCCCATCCCCATGGCCACCACAACTCACTGCAAAGGCTCTGACATTCCCCCAGCTCGCCAGAGCAGCTCTCTTCCACATGACAGCAGCTCAGCAAGCTCAAGGCAGAATTAAATCTCTCTCCCTTCCGCCTGCAGCAGGCAAAGCACGTGGTGTTTCAGGGACCTTGGGCTGAGTCCTCATATTTAATGTGGAGAGCAGACTTCAATGCAGCTTGTTCCTTGTTCATTCAGTGACTAACTGTTGATCTCTCTAAGAATAAGCCAGATGGTTCCCGTGATAAGTGATCAGCTCTCCTGGAGTTTTTGAAACAGAAAAAGACAGATGCCTGCGTGCCTCTTGCCAGGACCCATCTTAAGCTCAGGCGATGAGTGCAAATGCTTAGGAAGGTTGTGTTCAGGGGATTCTCTCCATCCAGGCTTAACAAATAATCTTCCCCATCAACCCTTCATCCAGGAGGGGAGGCATCTTGCCTTCTGACAGCTTCCACCAGCTTAAGGGCACCACAAATCATAAGATCAGTCYTTATAATTGGATCAGACTTTGATATTGTTTTCCTTTTCTGTGCATTTACATTAACATCTCATTTTGCAGACAGCACATCTGAACAGTGCTTACTACTTCAGCTTGTATTTGCACACCCCGGTGATTGAGAACACTGAGAGGAGTGACAGAGCATTTTAGCAAAGGAGAAAGCTTGTTTTAGGAAGCTGTTTTGCTGGGGTGGGGAAGAAAAAAAAAAAAAAAACAGGCTAAAGAGTTTTGTTTCTCAGCCATTGATGTGCACACCACCAGTCAGGCACCGCTTCCTGTCCCTCAGCACAGAGACCAAGGTCTCCACAAGAGAGTGAAAAAAGGTGGCAGTATTTGTCTGCTGAATTCTTTTTAATTTGTTTGTACCTTAATTTCTCCTTCTGATTGTATAGGAAGCCTGATTCCACTCCTGAGCTGGCATTAAAAACAGAGAGCCAGCAAATCGTTATACCCATGTGAAGTTAGCAGAATGGGGGGGAAGAGGAGATAGGAGCAAGGTGTAAAATGATCAGTGGAAACAGAGCTTGGCTCTTCCCAAAACCAGCTTCAAGGCAGTAGCTTTGCCCACCAGCCAAGGGCTGGCTCACCTGCCCTGGGAGAAGCAAACACATCCATTCCAAAGCTCACAGTCTACCCCATCTTCCTGTAGGCAAAACTCCACTTGATCTCACTTGAGTTAGGCCAGTGTAAAAATGAGCAACATGCAGCCATGCACTCAACAGAAAACACTTCTTTTGTTTGCATGCCTCTGTTGTGGCTCTTAGAGGATGTACACTCTTAAGCAGTATCCTCAGAGTAAAATTTGGAGTTACACCTTCCCAAGACAGGGAGTTAGACCTGTAACACTGACTCAGCCTGCAATTTCACAGGATTAAACAGTCAGAAACCATTAAGCTGAAAAAGACTGAAATGTATGTGACAATACATGTCAGACACTCATCTCCACACCATAAGAAAAATATATATACATATCAGTTCACAGTTCATTATGTTTGACTAAGGTATTATTTCACAGACAGGACTGCAACTTCATCTGAGGGCTTTATGGAGCAGATGCCACTTTAAATCCAGAAACAGTGCACAGAAGGAACAGAGAGGGCACTAGATTTAAAGCAAGCAGGTAGTCTGCCCTCACTTTCCTGGGAAATTGTGCATGCATGTTCACTGTGCTTTGTAATCAGTGTGGCTTTCRTTGTGTTATTAATTAAAAAGAGAGGCCTTCTGCAGAAGAAATTTAAAATTGCAAATTTCCTTATGCATATTCTGCAAAAGCAATTTCCATTTTGTTATGTTACCCTGCGTCATGTTAACGTTAGGTTTTTATAAATGAATTACAAACTGACACTTAGCACGAGTATTCGAATTGCATTCATCACTGATACWTTTTTTCTTGTGTGATTTCCCAAGGAATCAAGGCTTTTGTAATWATAAACTCTAATCTTAAACACAGTTCCCCCATCCCTCAGTAAACCTTTGATTGTTTCACTTAACTTCAATTAAATYTGACAGAATCAGAGCTAATCGACCAACTACAAGTTTTGTAAAAGAGCATCCAGGTGGAGATGCCACACAGCCTGTTTGTCCCACTGCTCAAGATTAAGAGCAGGAATTTGATGATCAAGTCAAAAAACATTCACAAAACCAACCTCTGTGCACTATATTTTGTACCTCCATGTGGGAAAATGCCAAGTCACACACAAGGCAGGTATTCTTAGAGTTAGGTGACACAGTGTGAGCAGCTTCTCTAGCAGTAACACTGAATACACAGGTGCTCAAAAGGTTGTCCTTAGTTTATTCATTTAAGATGGCAATAACAATTGCTCCAATTTTAAACTCACATCCTCTTCATCCTAAATACAGTGAATTATGCCTCATTTTAATGATCTTCCAGCTCCTACTTTGKGCAGCACCATCCAAGATTTTGGAAAAGGTGGCTAAGCCTCACTGTGGGCTTTACTTGGTGCRGGGATCTCTTCAGCCTCAGGTTAGAACCATCTTTTTTACAACTCAGGCTTAAGGTCTGAAATCCTGCACCCGGGTCCCATTGACAGCCCTTTTTTTGCACTTGAAAGGCAGCACAAGCTGCCATATCACCCAATCAGTCAAAGAACCTTCTGCATTTGGAAATGCAAAAAAAAAAAGCTAAAAGGGCCTTAAAGTACGTGTCAATTAGGACAGCAGTATACAGATGATTTTTCACCTGCTTTTCCATTGATCTTCCCTTTCAAGAATATTTTATACTCGAAGGTATAGTAGTCTTATGAAAACACTTGGCTTGTCTCTTTTTCCAGATCACAGAAAATAAATTTAAAACAGTACGAAAAAAATGTATTCTGGGGTAAAAACCTTTGCACCCTACAATTCTTTTATTTTGCACCCAAGCATTCAAAAAGCAGGAACATTTTCAGGGCTGGACAGCTACTGAAGAGTTAAACARAATATATTTAGTAATATTTAAAAGAAAAAGAAATTTCCCTGTAAAAAAAATGCAAAAAACACCAGCAGGTCTAGGGACAAACACCAGAGTTTGATGAACAACAGCACGCTCTAAGGCGCATTTCTGTGCCCCCAAGAAGTGCACAGAAGATGCCCAAGTTTGTCCCTGCCTAACACCTTCTATATGGAAAGAAGAGGAAAAGTTAGCAGAAATCTCAGGGCTGGTGGCAGCAAAGCAGGAATCCATCCTGTTATCAAATGCTTACAGAGAGAAACTGTACTCAGTCAGGCAGTCAAAAACACGCCTACTCAGATAAGGGTATCCCTGCAAAGAAATCTCTTGACACTGCTTTGACATATTTACGTTCTTCCGCGATTATTCAGTTGCAATAACATAGAGCTCCTCGTCTGACACTCAGACACGAGCCAGTCCCCAGTCCCCAGCTCTACACGAGGAAGGGAAACAAAACGTTGCCCGGCGAAGTTACTCAGCTGGGTTAAGGCTGCAGCCTGGYCGCCCCGCTGGTGACATGGGGCAGAGAGAGCGCCGAAGCAAGCCGAGATGTAAAGCCAGTAAAGCACTAAGTATACAATTAAAAGATTAATCTAATGCGATCTAATCAAAGATACCGCATCTAGATAGCACACCCTGAAGTTACAGCGAGATTATGCTACTCTTAAGTCCTATTAGCCTGGACTTGTTGGAAGATCTGTTATCTAGCAGCAAGATACAATCCGTAAATGATTTCTTTTAATTAATTCATTGAAGTAAACAGAAAACAGCCTGGGTCCTATCTGTCTACATCTCTTTGGAAGAAAGGCAAAGAGTTCAACGACAGTTTTGAATTGGGGAAAGGATTCCTGCGTTGCAGCAGACGAGCAGGGATTRCAGCAGCATCCCTTGGAAATACACACCACCTTCTTCAAAGCAACAAACAACTACCGCCTGAAGCCCACCSAAAAGACTGTGGCTTGGAAGAGCTCTGTAACAAGCCGAAGATGAAGAAGTGCCTCCCACCTCCCCAGGTAATCTGCCCCGCTYCCGAGGGGCAGTCTCACGGCAACGGCACAGCCCCATGCAGACCCTCAGGATCCCGACACCGTGCCCATAGCGGGGGTCCAGCCCCGCCGTCTCTATMGCAGGGATGCGATGCAGGGATGGTGGTCCCGTCCCCACGTCCTAGAACGAGGGTCCAGCCGCTGCCAKCCCCTCACGGGAGGTCCAGCCCACGCGATACCGGTCCGAGGGTCCTCACTCTCAGCCCCTCTACCAAGGGTCCCTATTYCCCTCGGCGCCGCCACAGCTCGTACCGCCCCGGGCCGGGGCGAGGAAGGSGGTTCCCTCGCTGCGACCCCCGGCTCCACCTGGATGACCGGGAGGGTCCGTGCAGTTCCGCCCGAGGAGCGGGACRGGGGAAGCGGCGGGGACCGGCGATGACACCGGTCGGGCTGGGCACGGGCCGGCGGTGTCAGCACAGGGACAGCGGAGCGCCCGGCGGAGCCCACGCTCGGGGCAGGGGTCGGGGGGTGCGTGGAGCACTGGTGGGGCTGAGCCGCGGGAGGCGCGGCGGGGCCGGGCGGGCGATGGGGGGGGCACGGCCCCGCGCGCAACTTTCCGCCGCGCCGAGGGACCCCGGCGGCCGCGCCGGCGGTGGTATCGTATGCAAATACGCAGGCTGACGTCAGAGATCATGTGGGGTTTGGCGTAGATCCCCGCCGATCGAGGGCTCTTTTTTTTTTTTTCCCCTTTTTTTCCTTTTTTTTTT